ATCTAAACGCGGATTGTTTCTTTGGAAGAACGGGGGAGAGGGGAGGGGAGCTGGTGATTGATAAACAAATGAGGCGCGACGGTGGCGGTGAGGCGAGTGGATTTGGGTTGGGGTTGGGGCTGGCGCACACGGCGATTGGGGGAATGGCGGTAGGTGCTGCTGGCTGGGTAGGGCGGAGGAGAGGGGGATTTATGATGCGATGCGGACGGACGGACGGAGCTTCGCGGTCAGACGGAGGAGAGAGGAGAGGAGAGGAGCGGTGAATTTTGGTGTGCGTCGTCCTCTTTTTTCTTCTCTCCGGTGATATTTTTCCGTTTGTTTTTTGGGGGACCTTCTTGTGTTTGCGGCTGGGGCTTTGGCAGCGAGTGGTTGGAGGTTGGGGGCAGGGAGCTTTGGAAGGCCCGTCACAGCGCTGCCGGTTTTCCCCATGCCCTCACGGCCTCACCCTCGCTGGTACTGGTTTTGTTGCCTGCTGCGTGACAGGAAGAGACAATTATTTTTTTCCTATGCTAATATTTTGTGTGTGATTGTGAAATGCAATTTTTTAAATTTGAATTTGTAGGATGTTTTTTATGCATATGTTTGTTGAGCTTGCTAGGCATGCTGGGATTTTGCGAGGACGGCGAGAAGCTGGGTCAGGTGAAGTTTGAAATGAGCTCGACACGCGCCTTGTGTGACAATAGCGCACACTTGTAGTGTGAGCGGGGCGTACCATACACGCATTATTAATGTAGTATTTTTTGCGAGAGCGCTATTGTTGGACGGGAGATAAATCTATCAAACCTTAAGTACGTCTGTATAACAGCCAATGAGAAGAAAGTGGTAACTGAAACATGAAATACATAATATTTTGTGATCACTGTATTAGGTCAATCATATATTCATATATGCATGTCTTAGTTAGTGGGTAAGGTTTCTATGAAATTGATTGGTACCATAATAGTATTTTGGAACCACTCACACTTGCAAGTACGCAATGATACGGTTGTTTTTGTTGTGTGATTATAGAAGTGATCATCGAGGATCACATGAAAGATATTGCTGTTCCAACGCCACTATTATACGTATTATGAAAAAAATGACATATTCATACCTGCCACCGTACACAGCTTATAGCAACTCTACCAGAGTTGTCATAATTGGGACCGACATACGCCATATGGAGCTCCCTCATACTACATAATGTTTTGGAGGTTGTCAGATTGTGCGCAGGGGCGGAGCCAGG